AAAAATATTGTTTCGAGGATAGCAGTACTCTCTCTCTGATAGCTTAGTTGGAATGAAACTTCCCCCTGGTGAAGCCTCATTAGGAAAAGGGTGGAGACAAAACTAACTTTCCCCTAACCTAAAGATGACGATATAAATGCTCACTATTACCAGTGTCCTTTAAATAAAGGTGTGTCTACACATCTCCAAATGCATCACAAATATCAACTATTAAACACCCAATTTTCAGAATATTTGGTTAGGCTTTAAGCAAAACTGGGTAACAAGGAGTTTCTAGAATAGACCACATGCATAGACCATGTACATTGTATCCACATTACACTAAAGAATTGATCAATTTGATCAGTTCAGTGGAGGGCTAATAATCAATCTGATTCAGTTCAGTGGAGGGCTAACAATGTCTTGGAAGCTTTCCTTCAGTGTCCCTAGGAAAGTGATGCCAATAACAGGTAAAGGCTGAGGATTTTCAAGGGGCCAGCCATTACACTTAAAGTGTTTTATGCAATAATGCTGTCTTTGGAAGCAGGCATTACCTCCATTTTACAGATACGGAAACAAGCTTGAAATGGCTAAGAGATTCACCCACAGCCACACAGCTAGCAAGACGTGAACAGAGGTCGGCCTGACCCCAGAGCTGGGTAACCATTACGTTCAGTAACCTCCTCTCTGACAGTTTTATTTTTACCCCCTAAAACATAGGACCCAATTCCTACCAACTCTGTGGCTCCACCAGCCTGGCTGGTTTAGGCAGAGGACACAGGGCAGCAGCACTGAGGACAGACAGGAGGGGAAACAATGGTCCCAGCAAGTCATCGAGCCCGAGTGTCTCCATCACTCGGTCGTTTCACTCAATACATGAGGACAGACCCTCGTGAGGCCACGTGATCTCTGACATATAAAATCTCCACTATATAACAGTCCAGAAAAGCCATGCCCATGCAGATGGGAGGATGAGATCTAAAGGGAAGTGCTGCCTTGCTAGGAAAAAGCTTAGGTCACAGCTGCGAGGCTCCGTTTCCACGTGCAGTTGGAAAGGCCAGTGTGAGGGGAGGAGATCAGCACTCTAAGCAGAAACACATCGATTCTACATCCTGGGGGAGTAACTGTGCCTCAGGCTTGGATGAAGAAAAGGCCACTTGATTTTCAGATGTTATCATGTTGATGTGAATCTAGTGCCTCATAATATTTCCCCTAATTTTTTTTTTTTTTATCTCCTTGCCAAGACTGGAAAATATGACTTGTGCTGTGAGTCACAGCCACGCACCAGGAGAGACAGACTCTCCAGCCCCCACTGAGCTTCTCCCTGACACTTCCACCGTCCCCTTCCTAACAGCGCCAGCTCCTCCTACGGGAGCAAGTTTCCCCTGGTGAACTCAGACACATGTCCCAAAATGTTCTTATCAAACAAGTTCCTCCCAAGCCCTAAGGGCTCTGGTTGATGTAGCTAATTAACATTTTTGACATGCCAGTGAAGTAACAGGATATTTTCCTCTAAGAAAGCAAAAACAAAAACAAAAACGAAGGCACTAGAACATAGTATAGTTCTTTTTTTTAAGATGGTTGCAATGTCAGTGGTAGGGGCACACACACAAAAACACCACTAGATATCATTACCCCTAGAATGAGAGTGCTACAACAATCAATAAAAAACATATCCTCAGGTGAGAATTTTAACAGTATCGGTAACAAAGGCATCAAAGCAATTTAATGGAGTAAGGAATGTATATTCTTTTCAACAAGTAAAGCTGGAACAACTTGGCATCAATATGAGAAATGAGCCTTGACCTCCATATCACACCATACACAAACATGAACTTGACATAGAATATAGATCTAAAATTAAAAGTTAAAACGTTTCTAGAAGAAAAATTATCTTCTCAACCTGGGAATAGGTCAAGATTCTTAGAACACAAAAGTAATGACCGTAAAAGAAGTGCTGAATTAGACTATGTCAAAATTAAGAATTTTCCTCTAAAGCCAGACTTATGAACATGAATAGGAAAGCCACAGGTTGGAAGAAAATGTTCTCAAAATCTGATAAAGGACTTGTAATAAGAATATGTAAAGAACTCCCACAACTCAATTACTTTGAAAAAGTCAACCCAATAAAAATAGGCAGAAGATCTAACCAAACATTCACAAAAGAAGATAAAGAAATGGCTAATATCCAAATAAAAAAGCATTCAACCTTATTAGTGATGAAAAAATGAACATTTAACCATAAGCTGAGACCGGTTTGGCTCAATGGATAGAGCGCTGGCTTGGGGACTGAAGGGTCCCGGGTTCAATTCCGGTCAAGGGCATGTACCTTGGTTGCGGGCATATCCCCAGTAGGGGGTGTGCAAGAGGCAGCTGATCGATGACTCTCTCTCATCGATGTTTCTAGCTCTCTATCTCTCTCCCTTCTTCTCTGTACAAAATCAATAAAATATATTTTTTTAAAAAAATTTAACCATAAGAAATTATTACCCACTAGATCAGCTAACATCAAGAGACTGAAACATCAAATACAACTAAGGATTTGGAGTAACCAGAACTCCCTTATTGCTTGTAGGAGTATAAAATGATACAGCCACTTTGAGAGAAGATCTGGAAGTACCTTATCTTATAAAAGTAAGGACACCATTATTTTATCTTGGAGGTTTCAGCAAGATAATTAGGCAACTAAAATAAGATAAAAGAAGCATTTAGACTAGAAAAGAATAGATGATAGATTTTGTATATAGAAAATCCTAAGAAGTCTACAAAAAACTGTAAGAGCTAATAAGAGTTCAGCAAGGTTGCAGAATACAACATCAATATACAAAAATAAAATGTACTTCTATACCGTAGCAATGAACAAACCACTCCACCAAAATGAAAGAAAGACATTTATATTAATGATTGAAAGACAAAATGTTAACATTGTAATAACTCAAGATTGATGTACAGATTTACAGCAACCACTATAAAAATTCCAACTGGTCCCCTCCACCCCAAAATTAATAAACTGGTCCTTAAATTCACATGAAGATGCAAAAGACAAAGCCAAAACAATCTCGAAAGGTAAGGAGAAAGTTGTGGGACTCATATCTCAAAGACAGTGTCCAGAAATGAATACTCATAATTATGGTCAGTTAAATTTTGACAAAGGTGCCAAGACAATGCAACAGGAAAAGAATATTAACCCGTAGAAGCTACTGGGACAACTGGATATCCACATGCAAAAGAATAAAGCCCTACCTCACACCACATACAAAAATTAACTCCAAATGGACCATCAAGCTAAAAGTATAAAACTTAGAAAAGACAAAGAAGTAAATCGGCGACCTTAGATTAGACCATCTATTCTTATATATAACAGCAAAACAGTATTAAATAAAAATTCTAGAATGATGCTTACAGCCTGTTAGCTTTCAAATAAAGCAAAAAATATTCAAGACAAAATATTATGCATACAGTGTAGAATACAGATACAAATACCTATCATAATCAACCTCCAAATAGAAGTTACTCTTAGGGAGGCAAAAGGATAAACAAGGGCTTAAACAGTGTCTGTAATCCCTTGTTTCTGAAAATTTTTCAGACAAATAGAGTATACTGTCAGTATTTAATAGAAGTGCGTATGGGTATATACATATAAACTTTATGAATATTTGAAATACTTTACAATTTGACAAATTGCATCTTTAAAAAAAGAGAGACTTTCTTATCATGAGCATTCATTGCCAATAAGCACAGGGCAAAAATGTAAGTAAACAAACAGATCTAGAAAAATATAATAACCCCAAGAAATATTCTGGAAGTTGTTTTGGGAATAAATACTGTTATTAGATCCCTTGTCATTGCCTCTATTCAAAATGGACTATAAAGTGCGTGCACACAGAATGATTACTGGAATTTTCCACTTGCTTGTATTCTATACAGACAATTGTGGCTTGTGTTTATTTTAGGAAATATCTCTCTCACTCTCTCTCCCCCTTCCCCTCTTAATTTTGTTTTCATCAAAATTTCCCAAGCTTAAATCTCTTCCTTTTGTGTTTTTTCCCCCCTTTCCCAAGATTTGCATTTCCTTTTCCAAGCAATGGTAAAACCTTGTTTTCTTTTCCATTTGATCATAAATCAAACAATACATTTCCTTGGTTGGTTTTTCACTTCCATTTACATGCCGCTTGATGTGTTTATATCTCCGCTGCATCTTCACTTGTCCCAAGTGCCCACAAGCTTCCTGGTGCTAATGAGCCACAGTGTTAGCGAGGAGGAGGTTCACTTATTTAGACCTACCAGGACGATGTGTACGCAGACAGGGGTAGCAATTCTCTAAAAGATCCCTGAAGGGGCCGTGGGGAGCTGGAGGGCCTGGAGGGAGGGCACCCCTGCTGTTCTCTAGATGTTAAGAGTCCAGAAGGCCGCCTGGCTCTAGTCACATGGGACAAGAAAGGGGAGCCTTTTGTCATTTTTCTCTTCCCAGCCAACAACAGTTATCTTTTATTGAGCACCTTTCATGGCCAGTCAGTCTTCTAGGTTGCTATTCCATTTAACTCCTAATTCCCTATGGAAGAGGCATTATCTCCACTTTCCACACAGGGCCCTGGGCAGAGAAATGGAGCAATATATGCAAGGTGCCGCAGCTGGCTAAAGGCAGGGCCAGGATTCACACCCAGCTGTGGCTCAGGCAGAGCCCCGCCCTTCGGCATGTACACCCCTTCCCTTCCCGGCTGCAGCAGGATTGGGGCAGACTAATTTTGTGGTGGAAGAGTTGTTCTCCTTCATAGTCCATCATGCAACCATATTTAGACTCAAAATAGGGCAATGTTTAAGTCTGAAAAAAAAATTGATTTCTCTAGTATGACTTTAATAAAAGCAAGCAAGATCCATATGTACACACTGTGTATTATGTACAGGCATGTATGTAGGGGCAAGGATGGCTATCTACCATGGTACCAGAAGGGCTGCTCAGACGCTGCTCATATAGCCATGTGCTCTGGGAACAAAGCGCCTACTGCGTGTTAGAGGCGTACCTGGATTGGATCCTGCGTCAGTCTCATGGGCCCAATGCGTACCTCCGCAGAAGACACCTGCTAAACAAAGGACAGCACATGAGATGTCTCACGTCTGAAACAACAAGAAACGACAAGTTCTTCCTTACACAGGAGAGTACATATGCCTCGGTGCAGATGCTAAACAGATTCATCTTATTGACTTGGAGACAGCTTTCAAGACACCATGTCCACACAATCCTGGTTTTGGAAAAGGATACATACCTTTATATGCACTAATAATGTCTGGGAGGTTATATCCCTAAATGCTAAATGGTGTGATTTCGGGTTATTTTTACTTTAAATGCATGGATTTTTTCAACAAGCGTGTAATGGTTTATGGGAGGAAACACTTAAATTCAATAACTACTTACAGGGCACCTACCATGTGTGGGCACCATGCAAGACTGTTATTCTAAAAATTCAAAAGACTAAAAATTTTAAGTGTGGAAGCTAAAGCATTTCTATAGCTTAAGAGGTGTTCCAATATTTAGATCTTACTTTTCTTATCTTCATGCTTTAGTATGAGGAATAAACAGCTTACTCTTGCCCGTGCTTACTAGGAATAGATTACTCATGTCAACTGTATCTCCTCAAAGAAACGCCCTGGGCCCTAGCTGGTTTGGCTCAGTGGATAGAGCACTGGACTGGAGACTGGAAGGTCCTGGGTTCAATTCCAGTTAAGGGCTCATGCTTGGGTTGCGGGCTCGATCCCCAGTAGGGGGCGTGCAGGAGGCAGCCAATCAGTGATACTCTCATCATTGATGTTTCTATCTCTCCCTCTCCCTTCCTCTCTGAAAGCAATAAAAATATATTTTAAAAAAGAAAAAGAAAAAAAAGAGACGCCCCGGCATGACCACAAGTCCCCACGGCTCAGGCACGAGCTAAGTGGCTCCCTGGCCAATGCTGTCTGACTGCCCTTGGCTGCAAGCGCAAAGCCCCTGCGTGCATTTCTAATCACTGTACCTGGGCTTATAAAAATGCCTTGTCGTTAAACAATGGCATTGAAGATCTTGGCCTCCCCTCCACGGAGAGGCTGAAGATTCTCTCACTATTCGGGAGCTTATCCGCACTCAACACACTACGGTGGCCCCTGTCAGTCCGATGGGACACCTTCAGCAATGACCCAAGGACGAGAGGAGGCTTTATCAGTTAAAACACAAACAGGAAAACCTACACTTTGTACTTTGGGAACTAAAAATTGTACCTTTCTCCTTTCTTCCCCTCTCCCCATGCTTAACTCCTGGTGGCATGAATTTTCTCCAAAGCATCATCACCAGCTGCTGACATTCTTTTCATTCTGTAAGGGTGAGTCCCCTCCCTCCACCGGCATCATCTGTGCAGAAAAGACACTGGGGACTCTGGACTCTCCACAAACTGCCAGCAGAAAGCTCTGAGCTCCCTGGTGACAGTCATCCAAGGCTCCTGGCCCCTGTGATGGGTTCTCAGGAGGGCAAAGCTTCGCTCCCCTGCTCTGCTTGGCGAGGCGCCTCCACACAGCGGGTCCTTCCAGCAGGCCTGGTGCGACTCAAGCCAGCTCGGGGCCTTGAGGCCCCAAGCCCCGTGACCAGTGAGAAGTTCTGCAGTCTCCTGGTAAAAGTGTCACCCTCGAGTTGAGCGCACCACTCTGAACGCCCCGTTTCTCTAAGCAAAGCAATGTCCTGCCAGGTGTCTGAGCCAATACCAGCACCCAGTGTTCACAGACAGCCCAAGAGGAATTCCACCACAGAGCCCATCACCAGGCCTCCTGTGTCACTGAGATGCTAGCACCACTCAGCTCCACTTTGAAAGCAGATTTTATTGTAAAAACAGACACGCTCCCTTGAAAGCAGCACCACTGCCAGAGCTTATTAAACTAAAAAGTTAATGATTAAAAAGTGAAGCCAATCTGGGGTAGCAAGGTAGATTTGATTGGTAATCTGGGATACCCTTTCTCTCTGTGATCTTTCTCGAGTTCACTATCCTCACCCCCCCCAGAAACCCTGGCCTAACAAGACCACCTGTTAATGGTTTCTCTAGAAAAATGCTCACAAAGGGGTTATCCAGGGGTAGAAAATAAGCATATGATATAAGAAATCAATGAAAGCTTTAAAGGAATAAAGTAAAGAGGGAGTCTCTTTGGAAGGCCAAGACTGGGAGAAAGGCAATGACTGTTGAAAAAATAATTATAATTCACATCTAACCAGTGCAGTGCTGTAGACTTTGTCAGAAACCAATACGTGCATGAAGACACTCAACATTTTAAATACCTCATGACTGTGGGACCCCACCCCCAGCCCCCTTCTGTCCCAGCAGTGTGCTAGGCACTGTTACCAGCGTCATCTCAGTGGGAGACGGGCAATGGCCACTGCGTGACGGCATGGAATTTGAAAGAGAGCACCCGATCTAGAAGACACTGTTTTCCTACCCAAAGACAGGAAAGGCCCACTTTCTCCACAGCCAGGATTTTAACCTCTGCCTGACCCAGCTCAGCAGGAAGCTGCCACCTGAGGCAGAACCCAGCAGAGGAACCGCAAGGCTCATGGGCCTCTCTCAGACCCCGCCCCTCCCATCCCTACTCCTCTCCTTCCTCCCACCCACTCACATCTCCACTGCCATTTACTGTTTACTGGCTTCCCTAGTCCTGACCCACACTTGGCTTCCTTTTTCCCTCCTCCCAGTCATCTGACCTTGGCTTCCATGCCTAAGGGAGGGCAACTCCCCCACAGAACCCAGAACCACTGCTCACTGGCTCTGAGGGCTGGAGGAAAGTCTGCAGCAGGTATGTTCACAGACAGCAGTTGGCAGAGTTCTGTTCCTGACACAGGCGTCTCACTGCCTGCATTTCACCAATTTGTAAGGGCCAATTATGAACAGAAACAGGAGGCCATTTACTGATGTCTGTGTAGCCAGGCCAAGATTCGCTACTTCAAAGAGTGAACTTTGAGCAACTGCAGACGCACACATCCTCAATTAGTATATTAGCTCTGATTCCAGGAAGTGACCATGTCTGCCAAGGACACGGAAGCAAGAAGGCGGTGGGGTCATAGGTAACACAATTCCAGGCCCTAAGAGGAGAGGAGGATGGGATGATAGTAAGGAAAGGCAAGCTTCCTAGCCACTCCAGCCACATGGCTTTTCCCAGCAGCCCAAGGAGGAAGGACTGCTGATGGACAGTGCAGTGCTGCCTGTCCAACAATCATAGTGCATCAAGTATTTGTCTGTACATGGTGACATACACCCAAACATATATACATGTAGCAGAGCCACCAATTCACATTCAGATGAACTGGCTCTTTAAAGGAAATAAATAGTCTTGTTTTGTAGCATTTGCTAATTCTATGGTATAAATACTTTCATCTTAGCCAGTCACAGGCTGACAACATAGGCCCCTGGATATGCAATTAGGAATATATCTTTCCATTCAGAAGACCTATGAGTGGCAAACTCATTCAGTCTTTGTTGATTTGCAAATGTCTCTCACTGGCTTTTATTGGATAGTTTAGCAAGATTCAGAATTGTGGTTAATACGCATTTTCCCTCAGAAGTTGAGAGAAAGGAGATAATACTTTTGGTTTTGAAGGTGGGGAGATCAAGGAAGGCTTTGTGCAGACAAGTAGGTCATGAAGAATAGGAAGATACAGAGACAGGGCTGGGAGAGGAAATTTTCAGGCTTACAGAAAACACTAGAGGCTCAGTGCACAAAATTCAAGTACACTAGGGTCCCCAGTGCCTGCCCGCTGCCAGCCACTGGCCAGGGCCTCCCTTCCCAGGCTACCAGCTGTTAGCTGGGGCATTCCTTTGTTCCACACTGCCCCCTGGTGATCAGTGCATGTCATAGCGAGTGATTGAACTCACAGCCAAACTACCGAGGCACTTTGCATATTAGGCATATATATATATATATATATATATATATATATATACACACACACACACACACACACACACACACACACACACATACACACACACACACACACACACACACACACACAATGCTGACCGTCAGTGCAGTGCTGCCTGTCCAACAATCATAGTGCATCAAGTATTTGTCTGTACATGGTGACATACACACAAACATATATACATGTAGCAGAGCCACCAATTCACATTCAGATGAACTGGCTCTTTAAAGGAAATACATAGTCTTGTTTTGTAGCATTTGCTAATTCTATGGTGTAAATACTTTCACCTTAGCCAGTCACAGGCTGACAACATAGGCCCCTGGATATGCAATTAGGAATATATCTTTCCATTCAGAAGACCTATGACATACACACACTAGTAGCCCATTGCACAATATTGCACGTAGCAGACTGCCCGCCACTTCCGCAGGAGCCAGCAGGAATTGCAGCATGCCGCCGGGAGCCACACTGCTTCTATGGCTTCTGCAGGAGGCAGGCCCATCGTCTCCTCTCCAGGCTTACACTCGGCCACAGAGGCTGTAGGCCAGACACCCCTATCCCTGTCCGTGTCCACTCAGGTTCCAGAGAGCTGGCCCAAGTTGGGCTTAGCAGCTCGCCGGACCGTGTCACTGTCTCCATCTCCATTCTGGGCCTTACCTGTGTGCGCAACCTCCTCCTGTCTGCTTGTGACCCATTATGGAGTCCTGGCCTAATTTGCATATCCCCACCCCTCTACACACACACACACACACACACACACACACACACACACACACACACGAGGCCTGGTGTATGAATTTGTGCACGGGTGGGGGCCTGCTAGTCCATCTGGATCGGGGCCTATTGGGCCAGGCCGGCCAGGGGGAGGGCCCTGGAGAAGACCCACTGAGCTGGAGGTGAACATGGACCACAGCTTTCTAGGAAGGATGACCAGTGCCTTGGCAGTGGCTGTGCAACTGGCCCTGAGGCCCTCAGGCTCAGCAGTGGCACTGGTGGTGGCCCCTGAAGCTGGCACATCATAGCAATCGATGATTCTGGTCATTCTGCCATAACAGTCGCTGGGCTTTTATTATACAGACTAGAAGTCCAGTGCACAAAATTCGTGTATGGGGGATTCCCCTCAGCCCAGACTGCACTCTCTCCAATCTGGGACCC